CTTACTTTATGTTTTTTCTTGCCTTTTGAATCTGCAGGACTATGGACTCGCTTTCATTCTGAGATACAACTTGCAAGATATCAAGCCCCTTGTCTTAAAACATGCTTCTGTTTTTCAAAGGCATAAGTGGGGTTCACATTCCTAAATTGCAAGAGAGATTGAGTGTTACAGCTTCAAGGAAATGCCTATGTGACATACTGTTTGAAAATCCCAGCTTGTGCTTCACTCCATAAGTGAGCATCTCAGTGCCCTGGGAAGCAAGCTGATGTGTCTCATTTTCCCTGTCCATGAGTGGATAGTATTGCCCACATATTTTTGCAAAGCATCTGGGGAAGATATACACTGTATATTTGGCATGTGTCATTACAGTAACATTTGGATAGCCACCCATTTGTGTCTTTTGTTGACTTCAAGGGACATTAGATCAAGCTCTTAATAGGAGAATAAAAGCACAGATTTAGTTTTCAGTCAGCTAAAAATTTGATTTCTAAATAATTGTATTTATAACACATGCAACGCCCAGGATGACTTCATGCCCCACTACAAAGGAAAAAGCTGTCAAACCCTTGCTCCAGTCTGCTCACGCAAAAGGTGGAACCCAGCTGCAATCTCTAGGCAAGTGCATTCCCGCTCCCCTAGCACATTTGTGCTCCTTGTCAACTCTGCAGCCCAAACCACAGCCCCTGTCACAGTATGATACCAAGAGAAAGGTCTCTGGCAAGGGGTCTGCAGGAGGGAGTCCTGCTGGATGTAGATTCTCCTAGAGCTCAGGGACCTCTGCTCTTCTTTGTGGCTGTGAGGAGGAGATGACTTGAAATGAGAGCTCTGTTTCCAACACGGGAGTCAGGTTTTGGGGCAAGGCTATAGCCACGGTGGCCCCGCTGATCCCCTGGGCTCATCCACCACTCTTCTGGAGCCACACCACCTCTGCAGGGCTGTGCCCACAACACAAAACTTCAGGTGACGCTGAGTGATAATAAAATAAAAGTATTTATTTTTAATAGATGGACAAAACAGACCCCAAACCAGACAGTATTTTCCTGAATTGCATGGGCACTATTGAATACAATACAAATGAAATTAAAACATATATATCTATATTAGGCTTCCTATCATCTGTTTTGTTAGGTATAGTCTTAATATAACATTTCTGACACAGACAAAAATATACTTTTTTTTTTAACAACAGCCACAAATACTGCCCTTTTTAATAGCAGACTTACAATAACTTGCTGTCTAACTGCACATAGTACTTGATCAAATACGCTTGAAGGGCAGACAGAAAAATTAATAACAGTTTTTTTCTCCTATGATACTTATATTTGAAATCCTAGACTCTGCACTATATGAAAATAAAAGACTAAATCTTTTATTTTACTTGATTTGATCCACTTAATGTTTACATTCAGTTCAGGTTCACAAAAGTATGTTTTATTTATAATACATATACCATCCCATATGGACAAATATAGATGAAATTGTAACTTTTTTTGACATCTCAGCTATGTTATTAACCTTGATTTTATGAACACATTTCATGCAAAGAAGGTAAAAAACCCTGTCAAATAAGTGTTATTCACACATGTGAAGAATATGAAAGTAAAATGTACGATCGTGATATGAATATTTTATCTAGAAATTGTAGTCTCAGAAATGTACCCTCAGTGTCTGAAAATGAGCTGTTTGCTTCACTGATTATAGATCCAATTTAGTGCACAGTACTACTGTCTACAGATTGCAAAAGTGGAGAAGGAGCATCTGATGATTCCCATGAAAATAAAGTTTGCTTGAAGAATCACGTCCTGTTGACATTTTGCTTGTGGAAGTAACTTTGTTGTATTTTGTTCTCTCTCTTTTTTTTTTTTTTTGTTGTTTTTTCTTTTTGTCAGCTATCAATCATAGATACGGCCTTTGGTTATATGAACAGCTTTGTATAAATTTCATGGTAGGATAGCTGAACTAAGGCAATAAAACTTGTAAACAGACTTTGCACACAGCTGTTTAGTTTGGCTTTTGGAGTTGTCCTGTCCACTATGCAGCCCACCACCACAACCACTGCAGCCATTGTTGGGCTCATGCAAAGACACGCACAGAGACTTGGTACGTGGAAAGCGGAGTTATGGTCACACGATGAACAGTCTCCAGTGCCACTTCTCTCCTTTGCATGATAAAGCTTCCTTGGCGTGTCACTTGTATAATAATCTTTCAGTCTCTGCAGAGAGGACTGGAAAACTGTTTGAACCATTTTCCACCAGAGAATGCATAGTTCCATCTAAACAGGAACACCTTGTGAAATCACAGTGACATCACAAAAATATTCAATAGGATAAACAGTATAAAATACTCTGATAACATTGAAAGCATCTGGCTTGAAATTTTTGAACTAAAGCATTTTAATTTTTCAACTAATTTTTGCATTTTGAGCTTTTTAAAAACCTTTATGTTTTTATGGAAACAAGGGAATATAAGGAAAAACAAACTATGTTTATTTTTCAGTCAAAATTTCTTAAACAATTCCCTGCTCAATCCCCTTCTCCTTTCCTTCTCCTCCCACTATTGGGAATTTTGAAATAAACAACACAGAAATGCTGCTGTGTTCAAAGCATTTGGCCACTATGTAGCTTCTTGTAGTAAAATTCTAGCAATTCCTAGACAAAACTGAGGTAAAAGAAAATTTTCAGGAAGACCTACAGGTGACTGTAAAATGAGATTCCCTAACTCAAATTGGAACTGCAGTGTAAGGCATTGGCTATGTAAGTGGGCAAAACTGTGGCTTGACAGCTTCTTATAAGAAGGAATTCAGGCTAGGGGATTCGGGCCAGAAACTGATACTAATTCAGCAGTGGCTCTGTTCTCCCCTCTCTTTCTTCCACATGATCTCTTTCCTTTTCTCTTTTCCTTGGTTCATGGGGGAATGAATACTGCTGGGCTAACGGCTGGTTTGCGAGATCCTTAGCACCCTGAATTTCATGGGTGGCTCGTTCACTCACCCCGCAGGAACTTTTCATTTCTTTGCTATATTGACCCTTCAGGG